CCCCCCCCCCCCGCATTAAAAGGCCCGGGGGCCTTCTATAATGGCGGAGCAAACAAAATTTTTAGGGGGCCTTCTATTTAGGGGGCCCTTCTATTAGGAATCTATGATATACATTGTCGACAAGACGTCTAATTTTTCAATAGGTAGTCTTTTTTTCGCAAAAATGACGAAATCTTACCATTCACGTGAAAAAGATTTTTGTACATTGATAAATTACCAAAACTTGATGTTCAGTTATTTTCCATAATTCCTTCAGTTTTGACTATCCGAGACGTTCATAATTAAGCGGATAAAATTGTTTTTTTGCTGAGCTTCCCAAGTCGTAGGAATTTCGACAAAAATGGAACCAAAATGCGGATATTCTGTAAGGCAAATGAACGGTTCCCTATTCACAAGGACAGATACACACTATTTGAAAGCTTTTGAGGTATAAAAGAACTTCTCGCGTCAAAGTTTACGTGAGTGTTTTCCAGGTTCGCCGGTATCGAAGTAGAATCATAGCCTTAATATAAGGCCCGGGCCTTCTATTAAGGCGATCATTCAGAACTTTTTGGGGGGCCTTCTAATAAGGGGGGCCCTTGTAATACGGGGGGGCCTTCTATTGCGGGGAGGGGTTTACTCTAGAAAGAGGGTTTTCTTTTACGAAAGTTCAATTCTGGTGTTTCTATGAGAGAAGAGATTTTGTGTCGATCTATGAAAGATAGTAATATTCGAGGTTGTTAAAGTCTGCATTATCAGCTCGAAGGTAACTTATGTAATTATTGTATTGCAGAGGGGAAAAATTGGTGTATATAGATGATGATTTATCTTATATAATGTAAGTGAATCATCCTAGAGCATAATATTCAGAAAACGTTGTCGAATGAAAATGGCGTATTGCCTCTATATCATTTGAACGGTGATTGGTACTGCTGATATCTTATATTGGTGACGGAGGACAGATGAATGAATAAAAGAAAATATGGATACATAGTTTGGTTTAGTCATTGACATATATAGTCTGTGCTCCATTGCTTATTAAAACAGCTATTTTTCCATTGTTTATCAAATCGATTGTGTTATCTGTAAAGTATGGTTGGTGAAAGAGATTGTATTTGTTGTGGAAAATGACTTGGTAAAAATGATAAACGTCCTGTGATTAACAATCGGCTTTGGATTTTCATTAGTGCTCGTCTGTTTCCTTCACCAATACCTGTTGGCTGCTTTATCTGTGCAACATGTCGTTGGATGTTAAAAAATTGGCGATTTTGACGAACCTTTAAAAAATTAATTTTTTTCTATTTACATATGATAAAAAGAGAGTATTTATTCCAAGTTGATTGTTTTCAAGAGCTTTTTCATAAAATTGTTCAACATCTTTTGTTTCTATCACATTAATTGGCAAACGAGATGTTTTCATTAAAGAAACACTTACTCGAGCATTATTACTGATCTAAAAACAATAACAATTATTAAATAAAAAAAAAAAGAAGAAGAATAACAACCGCAAACTAACATGTTTAATATCAATCCTTGGAATTCCTCCAATTAATATTGTTTCTCCAATATCTAATAGAATATTCATCGGTCGAATCAACAGTTGATTGATGATCAATATATGAAAGTTCTTCTCGATTACTTCATTTATTAATCATCTTGAACAACAACAAAATAAATTTAAATTTAATAAAAATAAAAATTTTTATTTTTACTTGTTCAGATAAAATAACTCTGGCTGTCTAATAAAGCCATTTTTCATTTTTATATCAATCAGGATTAAAAGCTCGGATTTTCTTTTGTCGATAATATATTATATGTTCACGCGATTCAAATGAGCGATCTTCATAAAAAGAATTTTCATCAGATGAATATCTATAGGAAACATCACTTCAAGGTAAATTCATTTCAGATTCAAATCGACGACGACATTTTACTGTTGGTTCAACATTTTCTAAAACGCTATCGTTAATATCTTGATCATTAGAAGAAAAAAAAAAGAAACATACGAACAATAGTTGTTTCGTTTTGAATTGAACAATTATTTTCATCAAAAATCAATTCATTGTGTTCTCGTTCTTTTAAACGTTCCTCACGCATAAATTCATTTTTTCCAGTTCGTAATTGAATTGGAAAACGAAGAACATTCATTGTTGTACTAGCAAGATTTGATACAGTTGCACGTTGAATACAATTAAGTACATGAATATGACAAAGATCAGAATCAATAAGACTATTAAATAAACAACTTTTTCCAGTATTTGTACCAGCAAGTAAATAAACATCATCTATGAATATTTTTATTAAAATTAAAAAAAAGAAATGAAAAAAGTAAAAAAGACAAACCATGTTGTGACC